CTGAAGAACAAAACGACAACAACTTGTCTGTTCCCCTTCCCCCAATTCCCCAGCACTGTTCCCATCCCCCCAATTCCCCAATAAAAATCTTTAAAAAGAAAAAAACAAAACACCAAAAAAAAACAACACAACAGATGATTAATCATATGTCTCACTCCAAAGAAAACATGAATTAAAATCTGAATAGAAATTTTAAATAAAGACAAGGATGAGGTTTTGCTCTTCTAAAACCACTCAATAGAAGAAGGTAAACCTCCTTTCTTTCTTACAGACATCCAAATTCTTTTGATCATGCACCCCTACCAAATAATTTTTAATAAGTACCCTGATATATGCACATATATTTATAAGTTACATATACATATTGTTATCTATCATATTATGCATATTATAATTATAAAATGCAAAAATATAAACACTTAAAAGTATAAGGTAAAAATATGGATAGAAGCTCTAACTTTTTTTCCTGTGTCTCACCGCACTCTCTTGACATCACGCCTTGGCAACCACTGCTACAAAGACTTGGGCATAGGGATTTGGAAGAGAAAGAAAGACTATATTATATGTATTTCTATTATTTGAAGAGGCATTTTGACATTTTCCCATTGTTAATCATACATCATTTCACATTTATTTGTTTACAAGCCATATGTTACATGATTTTAAGACTTTAAAAACTTCTCAGGGCCAGCTGAGTGGCTCAGTTGGTTAAGAGCTTGCTCAAGAGTTTGATCTCTGAGCAAAAGCGGTTCAATGCCCGGCCTGAGCTGAGCAGCCGCTGAGCTGCCAACAGGTGGCAGGATGGCTCAGCTTAAAAAAAATAATAAAAAAACTTCTCTCTGGCATAATTTTCTAGGACTATGTGTAAGTATATTTAAGATATAGAGGAGTTTCTCTAAGATCTATCTGACTTAAATCAACCACTTAAAAAAAGTAACATTCTTTGTACGTTTTGTTTTATACCTTCTTCTAAAATGATTTTTAATTACTAAAATCAAGAATTTACTTTGGTGAAAATATTTTATCACTAAGAAATCCAGAAAACCCAGTAACACTCAAAATGTGTGAATTTTATTAAAATAGTTTAGGAAGTCGCTTACCATGGTTAAACAGGTAGCTGATGGTACCCTGTTGATGCACAGTTTTCCCCTTTCAAAAGCAGCTCGCCTGCCAATCATAACCTGCAGTTCAGAGTATCTGCTCCGTATGACTTTCAAATTAGGGCTCATATTTTCTCTGCTGATAGATAGCTTCTTGGTGCTTGCTTATCAATTGCCACCCCCTTCCCCTGTCAGCATCCTCGGGGGCTTCATTGTCTTTTAATGACAGGAGCATGATTATCTTTTTAAATCCTCTCAACATAACATCTCACTTCAGTGAAAATTTGTTAAACTGTGTTCTCATAATAGAGTATTAAAACAATCAAAAGAAATATTGTTTGTTTATATGGATTATGTTCCCCAGGCCAAACGCAAGCATGTGGTAGTTAGTTTTTATAGAGATGTTTTAGGTCCAGATTTTCTTCTACTGAAGCATTCTACAGTGTGTCAGACTAAAACAATTCAGAAATGATTAAAATACTTTTCAAACTCTTGGAAAATAAGTGATAAATTAACAATTAAAAACAGATTGTTTTCCAGAGAGAGAGAGAGAGAGAGAGGATTTTTATATGTAAAGGTTAATTCTTGACAAGTCCTTATGACTGTGTATTGTTCCTTGACAATAGCTGTGTATGACATCACCTTTACCCCCATATAGTTATCCATAAGTATGGCTAATTTGAAATGTTAGATTCAGAATGGGGATTTACTCCAAGGATTTGCTGTTTGGACTGCTTTCATCTCTCGAGGACAATTCAAGTATTTATGCATCCCAAAATAAAAACCTCTTCAAATGCAGATGATATACGTATTAACTATTTTTAAACAAATACTTGGTTTTCATTTTCCACTGTGATGTTTTCTTTTTGTTTTTAAGGTTTTAGATGGTGCTCTGATTATGCATTATGATTTTATCATTTAAACATTTTTTTTTCTTTTTCCAACTTTGGTGTAGAAATTTTAGGATTGACCTTATGTATTTTTGAAAAGGAAGAGTGCCAAGAGAACTTTGTGCTTAACGTTTCCTGATCTTTTTGGAATAGATGACATTGTTGGAAGATATGATGATCTTTCCAAGTCTGTTAACGAACGAAATGAAAAACTCCAGATAACCCTGACCCGCTCGCTGAGCGTGCAGGATGGCCTGGATGAAATGCTCGACTGGATGGGAAGTGTGGAAAGTTCTCTCAAAGAACAAGGTCAAGTGCCCTTGAACTCCGCTGCTCTTCAGGATATCATCAGTAAAAACATTGTAAGTGACATTCTAAAGAGAAAAATAATCCCACTTCTAAATTTAAAGAAAAAGAACCACTTAATAAGCTCCAAAGGAAAGGTAGAGTCAAGATAAATGTAAAGCTATAGAAAAAGAGACGTTTTCTTAAGATAGCTGTGGTAAGCAGTGCTTGCACAAAGGCAAATGTGTAAGGTGATTTTCCTGCAAAGGAATATGGAAAGAGCTCTGTAGACTTTTTTGATGAATAATATTCATTACAGTTGGCTTACACATACATTGAGTCCCATCTTGTTTATCATTGATTCAGCCAGCTGCACACATTAGGTTAATCTGATCAATCTTGTTTTTGTCCAGCCTTTTAAAAATTAGGACCGTGGATAATCCCCAGGCTCCATGAGATCCCAGGGGTTGCTGAGTGGCAGCCACCTCCTGCCTTGCTCAGGCGACTAGCCAGCTGTTCTCTACTCTCCTTGGAAGAGATTTGGGATGGGATTCCTCAAGGGACAGATCAAACTTCTCAGTCAGTCCCAGCCGTTAACCTTCTTTAGTCACAGATTATTCAAGCTTATGTTGTTACAAATAGTAATTTTTTCAAACTCTGGGACTCTGTTTGTAAACATTATGAAACCTATGCAATATTCGGTTCATTTCAGATGTTGGAACAGGATATCGCAAGTCGTCAGAGCAGTATAAATGCCATGAATGAAAAAGTGAAGAAATTTATGGAAACAACTGACCCATCCACTGCATCCTCCCTGCAAGCCAAAATGAAGGACTTGTCCGTTCGTTTTTCAGAAGCAGGTCATAAACACAAAGAAAAACTTACCAAAATGGAGGAGCTAAAAACCAAAGTAGAACTGTTTGAGAACCTCTCAGAAAAGCTTCAGACATTTTTAGAGACAAAAACTCAGGCTCTCACTGAGGCAGATGTGCCAGGCAAAGATGTTACTGAATTATCTCAGTATATGCAGGTATGTCTTCCTGAATATTCATGAGGATGATAGAGTATGTTAGCAGTTCAGACAAACGCATATGTTTATTGGCAGACTTATAATGAGCCATCATCATTTTAGTTGCTGATGGATTAATAAAGATCTATGCTTTCCTCTTTTGAAAATTGTAGACCTCAACTCCTCTTTGAAGCCTTTGCTTATTGATTAGAAACAAACACCGTATTTCACAAACAATACTTTCCAGGAACCATAGATGATGTATATAAGTATTTTACGTGCCAGACCTACAAAGAGACAGAATGTAAAGAGTGCATTTTTAAATTAAATGAAGTTTACTGTGTTCTTCAAATAGCCTGCCTCCATATTTATTTATATATAGGAGAACTGACCATAGATAGGCAGGATTATTCTAACGTGAGATTCTGGTCACATACATACCTCTTGATGGAATGCCATTTGAAGATCTAGCAACATCTTATAGTGATTAAATATCTTACATGCTTTGTAGGAATCTACTTCTGAATTCTTAGAACATAAGAAAGACCTTGAAGTTCTACAGAGTCTCTTGAAGGAGATATCCAGCCATGGCTTGCCAGGTGATAAGGCTCTGGTTTTTGAAAAAACAAATAATTTGTCAAAGAAATTCAAAGAAATGGAGGATACCATCACAGAAAAGTAAGCACCACTTAAGAAATTGGATTTGATTCTACCTGATACTAATTAGAATGAGTTATTTTTATTTACTTATGTAGATATCTGAAACAGTTTTGAAAACTTGAGAATAAATGTAGGGGTACTTTATAAGTGCTTTTATATCGATTTTTTGTTATTAAAATTAAGTGTATTTTTGTTAAACTATTTAGAAGGGAAATTCAAGACTTACGTAAAAGTAGAAAGCATTTTTTAAGAAAAATGGTGATGGTAGTGTGTTACTGACTAACCTAAACGCACTATTGTGTCTGAAGCCTTTAGCAAATATCACATTTTTATTTGCAGGGGCAGAAAAAACCTTGAAAAGATAGCTTGTGGTTCATTGCTTTCTGGGCTCACTTCAGAAGCTGGCCTTTTTTTTCCCTTTTTTCTCTCCGAAATAGTTTACTTTTTAAAGAGTTGTAGATAAGACATTACTCCATGAATAAACAAGATGAGAAACAAGAGAATGAACCTAAGTTGAGCTAAAAAGCTGTATGAAGATAAGCCTTGAAACTGAATTTTATATTTCTGATCTCATGTTAGTTTAAAATGTATAGTACATCTTGTTTTGCTCAAGTTTATACAGAGGACCCCCAAAAGATTGAAAATAGTTATTTCTCTTTCAACTATTCTTTATTTCTTCCGAATTTTCTACCATAAACTTTTGAGTGCTGTCTATACTACTTACAGAGCTATATTTTTCATCTTGTCCTATAACATTTAATTTACATATTGCACAGAAGACATAGTCTTGATTTTCCTAGGTAAACTCTAGGTTGTTTCTTCTTTCAAATGGATTCAATTTTAAAACCACGTAGTCATCAGTAATTAGTCCAGCTGCAGTGGACCCTGATGTGCCAATATTCCACACACTTGCATATGTGCACATGTCATCCACATGTCATCCGGGCTCCAAATATAACCGTCTTCACAGCTGTTCATGTGCTGGGCATGTGCCCTCCCTCCATGATGCTGAGGTACAGAAAGATCCATATAGTTGACCGTGGAGCCTCCTGAGTATCCACAGGGGAGGCACTCATTAAAAACTTTTCAGTCACGAGGTCTGACCTCGTTCCTTTTGGGGTTTTTTTGGTGACTGAAACCTGTGCTCTCTAAAGCAACCGGTTTTATCCATCCACTCAAGTGATTGTAATAGAGCATAGAAACCACTAGGTGGCGCTGTTTTCGTGCGGGTGATGTGTGAATGTTTTACTTCTGTTAGGTGCCTGCTGGCAGTAAGCACCATATAAAGTGGACAGATCAAAGCTCACTGAATCTAAATAGTGTTAAAACTGTTTATATAGCCTTAGAGTTGATGTAGCATTATAGAGTGTTATTACATATGGGGCGCAGATTTCTTTACTTCTATCTTTATCTACAGACCTTGCCTCTGAGGAATAGACAAATAGTTATTTAGCTGATTTCACTTATCGCCCAGGAAACCTTTCCTCCTGTATCAAAGGGTTAGCGTGTAGGTGGAGGAAGATTTTTTTCCTTAATATTAAGCTTGATATGGGAACAATTATTTATTAGTAATTAGTTCTTTGGAGCATCTCCTTTCTGTGGCTTAAATTTGTCAATGATTTTTGTTGTCTAGAAAAGAAGCTGTCTCCTCTTGTCAGGAACAGATGGATGCTTTCCAAGTCCTTGTTAAATCATTAAAGTCATGGATAAAAGAAACAACGGAAAGAGTTCCCATTGTGCAGCCTTCTTTTGGTGCAGAAGATTTAGGAAAATCTTTGGAAGAAACTAAGGTCAATCATTGTGTCTAATACTAATTTCTTATTTGCCTGTGTCAGTACTGAGAAGTTAAAAGACTAATAGTGGTTTATTTTTCTTTCATGTCACGTAAGTTAGGTTCTTATGTATGTACAATACCTTCTGGTGATATTTGCAAATCATGACATGGGGTTAACTGATCCTTTTGAGGAAAGACCCAACTTTCAATTAATTGGCTTTTTTTAAAGAGATGTATTAGTGAGTTGTTGACTGGGATGTGTTAACAAGTTGCTGACTGTTCGTATCCAAGTTTCCTTCCCCACCAAACCTTTACTTTGTTTCACTATTTTTTTAATAATTTTTCGTAATATTAAGTAAAAGACCCTTCTCTTCAACTCAGCAGTTTACTGTAACTTGGATATATCACCATAACTAGTATTTACGGATAGAATTGAATCTCTAGTACAAATCGTGTACAAGTCTTTTTGTCATCTGACTTACACCATAAGACCCATGACCAGTTCTGCCCATTTTCCCACTCCAAATTTGTGGAGGTTTGTGTTTTTTTAAATTCATTGACATTTTGATGATTAAAACTCACTATTCAATGGAATTCTGAATTCCCATTTTTTAATTGTTTTTATAGTACATTTCTTCTTGCAACTTGACTGTTACCTAATGCAGTTTTCCAGACTTACAGTTGACAGTTACTTTGGAACCTCTGGCTGCTAGGAATAGCCTGACTTCCACTGTGGCTAGGGGCAGAATGAAGGATGGATCACACGTCACTTCTCCCTGCTAACAGTGTTGCCAGTCACCTGGGCTGTGGGAACCAATAGGGATGGTGTTTTTTTCTTCCACCCACTCCCTCACAAACCAGGATCCACAGTTGTCATTGTTTTAAGATGTCTTTAAGAACTTGAATTATAATGTGTACCTTTGAAAAGATTATGAAGACTGAAAAATAATGTGTTTTTATACCTCAAGAAATTACAAGAACAGTGGAGCTTAAAAACACCAGAGATTCAGAAAGTAAACAACAGTGGGATCTCACTATGTAACCTCATAAGTGCGGTGACTACCCCTGCAAAGGCAATAGCAGCAGTTAAATCAGGTATGTGCTTTATTTATATTCATATCAAAGACCATAAGAATTGGACCCACCCTGGTAATTTTATTTGTGTATATTATTTTTCAAATTAATGCATGAAATAATCCCAGGAGGGAAAAGTGAGGGACAAAAAGATGGCATCTGTAAACACACTAAAAGCTGCCATGGAGAAGTATCTGTACTAGTCAAATTTCAAATCCCTCTTATGTTTCATTAAAGACTACAATTAAAATGTAGCCAAATTAATATGTGAGAATAGGGGGCATTATATTGGGGAAAGGGAAAGATCAGATTCCAATTCATTTGTTTATTTACCTTAATTAAGGTAATGTTACAATTCTATTTGAAATATTTGATAAAGAAATGAGTCTGGACTCCTGGGAAAGAAGAAGTGAGGGAAGAAAACAGATTCTTTTTTGTAGAGTGGACTTTTCATTTTATTCCCATCTGCTTTTATTCCTTACACAACCCCCCCCCAAAAAAAAAGAAAAAAATATACAATATGTTAACCAGTATATCTAAATCACAATCTTAATCATGATTGAACTACTTACTCTTCTCAACAGAATGGTTGAAATATATGAATAATGATTCTAAAATTAAGTTGTAGTTATAGATTAAAGTTTAAAATGTATTTATATTGTTGTCAATATTAGCTTTAAAAAAAAATCCAAGAGTAGATTGAAGACAGATCTCATACCTTTATTCTGAAAGTTTCTAAGTATCCTGAGAGCATCCTCTGCCTAGTCCTGCTCCCACCCCCCACCCCATCCCTATTGTGAGACTGATATTCCAGCTGGGCCTCTCTCAACCAACCATTTATTCCGCTCTATTAATCCCATTTCAGGGAATACTCCTATTATATATGGTGTGATGAACTCTTCCTTTTCTCCTAATCAGATTTCCTGAAATGTCAAGTTTTTTTTATTTTTTCAACAAAAGGAATTCTATTGTGTTTTATTTTAGTTCATGTCCACTTTATATTTGCAATGAGCAAAAAATATTTTTTTCTATTCTTAATAACTCCTAAACATGGTAGGAATTAATCTTGAGCATCTACAGGGTATATTCACTTCCATCTGAAATGGCATTGTGTGTGATTTATTTTTTTCTTTTTAAGGGATGAAACTTGCATTAAGATTCAGATATTTAAATGTTTTCATTTGTTTATACTTGTTCCCGTGTGGTTAGTTTTGGGACATGTCCTTGTGTTTTGGATAGGTAGCCAGTGTATACTCAAATGAGAAAGGCTAATTATTTGTCAAATATTCCGATTATGAAAAAGATACCAATGCTACATAGTTATATAATTAAAGAGAAAAGTAATTACTACTCCCTGAGCAGTTCCTATTTTTTAGGCAGTAGGTTAACTGTGTTTAATTCCCACAGTGGTCTCACGAGATAGGTATTATTGTCCCCATCAGTTTAAGGAAGTGGTGATTAATTTGCCCAGTTACAGAGCTACTAATTAATAGGGCTGGGGTTAGGTTCAGGTGAGCCATACACCAAAGCCCAGGCATTCCAAACCACTGTGAGTGTAGTAGTAGGGTTTTTTGTTTGTTGTTTCTTTTCACGTTTTCTTTGATGCCTTTTCACATCATTCTGTCTTCACTAAACCCATGATAATACTATGTGACTGCACCAGACAATTGTCATTTCTGTAAGGAGGGCAGAAGTCCTTTTGGTTCTGTCATTCATTTGTGCTTCGTGCAACACAGATACTGAGCAACTTCTGAGCTTTAGAGACTTTATTGCTAAAATAACTTTTCCAATAAAGAAACTTTATTACAAAATTGTTTTATAAATTCATATTTAATGAGTAGTATACTTGTATATAATCTAAAATACTGAAACTTGTGTTTGAGGCGATCATGTTACTACTTTAAGAATACATTTTATATAGAAGAGAGGATATGGCTTGATCTTTAAAAGTCTCATGCTCTACCAACTGAGCTAGTCGGGCACCGCTTGGCTTGATCTTTAAATTTTGGACCTTTATTTGATTTTGAAATGGAATCAATATTTTAAACTTTCAAGTAGTAATAACATGTTTAAATGATTACTGCTTACAGAGGTTTGATTTAAAGTCATTTACTATTAATGCATAGAAATGTTATGCAAATCTATGATTACTTCAGTGTTAATATTTTTACAGGTGGCGTAATATTAAATGGTGAAGGAACAATGACAGATACTCAGGAAATTTTAGCAAGTAAAGGTGAATAACTAAGTGCTTATTGATTGAAATGTCTTGGTATTTTTTGAGAGAGGAAATCTTTTTTTTTTTTACTTTAAAAGTGTATATATATGTGTATGTATGTATGTATGTATGTATATATATATAGAACAATATATAACTTTTATTCATCATATATTTTCCATTTCTGTTATAATCTCAGCATTGAGTAAAAAAAATATTATGTTTCTGCCCTCATGGAGCTTACAGTCTGTTGGGGAGAAAGACATTAATGATTTGTACTTATTTACAAGCCAGAGACTCTAATAATATCAGTAATTAAGTTTACTTCATAAATGAGCAGAGGATGCATTTCTCTCTGTCAATTGCATTAAATAGCTTCCTTAATTTTTTATGATGCTTTGAACTTTATTTTTATTTATTTTAATTTTGTGATTGCAGTTGACATTCAGGGTTATTCTATATTAATTTCACGTGTATAATTTATTGGTTAGTCATTTATATAATTAACAAAGTGATCCCCCCGATATGTCTAATACCCACCTGACACCATACATTTGACAGAGAAAATCTTTTTAAAGGTGATTAGTAATTACTTTGAAATTTTAAACTTGAATTAAAATGGTATTAATGTAATAGTCACATTCTCCATAAATATAATATTTATATAACATTCCATGTAATTTTCTTCATCAGAAATTAGTGAAATCCAGTAGTTCAGTTTGGCATTTGGTTTATGTTTCTTTCTGTTTGGTAAATTTGAGATATTTTGTCACTTGAGATATTATTTGAGCTATATTCTTGAGTTTAATGACTGAGGAATTAATCAGTAATATTTTATGATTTTGTTTTTTTTATTCTATTTAAAATGTATTTCATTTCACTTGTATTATGCAGTGTTCCTAAATTATTCGTCACTAAATAGCCTTATAAGATGATCTAACCTTTTACTTATAAAAATTGTATGACTTCGTCATAGTGGGCTAATATTGACAAAATAGAAGGGAATCTCATCTAAAGCAAACTTTTGTTTCTAGAGCTCTACTCTAAACATCCTGAAAAATGTGTCAGTATAATTATTTTTCTTACTGTTAGGATTAACATCTATTAAAAAGGATATGACTGACATAAGCCATGGGTATGAAGATCTTGGCCTCTTACTTAAGGACAAAATAGCTGAACTGAATACTAAACTCACCAAATTGCAAAAGGCTCAGGAAGAATCGAGTGCAATGATGCAGTGGTTACAGACGATGAACAAAACTGCAACAAAATGGCATCAGGCACCTACACCTACAGATACTGAAGCTGTGAAGACTCAGGTGGAGCAGAATAAGGTATATTCTGTGGGCACATTGATTGAAGACCTGGAAGAGAATAGATTAGCATTCAGAACTAAGCCCAGGTGGATAGGAGCCCTGTCCTGATTTCTTGCTCTTTAGCAAATATTATAATTTGCCGGTTTTGTTTAATGGGTGAGATTGATGGTCGTAGTCATCTATTTTTGCACTAAGACATTATAAAGATGAGTGAACTGTTGGGTAGAAACAAATTTGCCACCTTTAAATCAGTTTAAGTCTGGGATTTTAACCAGTCAGCTATTAGAAAAGATTAATCTAGTGGCCAAGTGTATTAGGGATCTGTTCTGTCCAGTATAAAATAGGGGGGCTCCTGCTTTCCCTTTCTTTAATAGACAGTGTTTCTTTCTACAGCTGTCAAGGTTGGGAAAATGGTTTTACATCGTGTCAATAATGGCAAAAATGTCTACAAATTACTAACCTATATTTGAACTCGATAGTGTGTTGACCAGAAAACGACTTATTTACTAGTAGATTGTCAAATCTGGCAGCCTTTATCAAGACTGATTTTCTTATTAATTACAATCTTACTGATGTCGTCTTCCCTTTTTCCAAAGGGATTTGTTTGAGAATAATACGACATTCCTTCTAGGTAATGGGGATAAGCATTATTATCTCCAGAGCTATAGCATTCCTCTTTGCGATTCTTGCATCACATAGTTGAGGATGAGTTAGAAGAGGAAAGGAAAATAATTAACTGGTGATTCCAGGTCCTCCCCACTTCAGCATTCAGCTGTGGATTTTTTTTCCTCTTTTGGTCATGCTAGAGAAAAACATTCTCTTATCATAATTTTGTTTTTGATTTTCGATATTGACATACTTTAATGGGGTTACTGTATTTTTTTTCCCCCTTCTTAGTCGTTTGAGGCAGAACTGAAGCAAAATGTCAACAAAGTGCAGGAGTTGAAAGACAAATTGACAGAGCTGTTGGAGCAGAACCCGGATACTCCTGAGGCCCCGAAATGGAAGCAGATGTTGATGGAAATAGGTATGTTATGTTACTTACACCAGACTCCACAAACAGCAGCTCAGTCTTTTTTTCATCATAATCTTCGTCAGGAAACAGTTACCCAACAGCCTTACTTATTTTGGGATTTGATTTAATGTTTCAGAATCTATTTTTGCATATTTAAAAGTACCATTTCGAATTATGTTGTGCTGACTTGGTAAATTTTATCTTGGGTTTTGTTTGTTTGTTTATTTGTTTGTTTTTTTCCTGAAACACTAACTTAATTCATTGTTATGAAAAAGGTAGATACTAGTTAATAAAATGCTGTGCACTGAGTAGCATGTTCTCATGATTGTTTATTGTATACTAGGTTTTTGGTGTTTCTAATTTTTATGCTTTACTATATTTTAATTTACACGTTTCTGTTAGTTTATTTGTCTGGAAAAGGTTGGCTCCCTTCTCCTTCATGGAGCGCTTTCTGGGACACCGCCAGCCTCTGTGTTATGCTCTTCTTCTCTTCCACAGCCAGTATTAAAAAGCAGCTCCCCACAGAAATCTGATGGTTTTGACTCTGTTTCTAGAGTTATATTCCCATATCGATCCTGTCACTATATAATCTATTCTTCTTAGGTACAGAATTTTCTTCTTGAGCCCTATTATCTTATCACTCCTTTTGCATTGTTATAATAATGTGGAAAAGATAATGATACTAATTTTCCCTACTTTATGTAATTGTTTGGAGTATTCAATGAGTTAATGTGTGTACAGCTCAGATGAGTAGTACCTGGCACATAGTAAAGGCTATGTGTGTGCTATGATGATTATGAGAATGATTTTACTTTCAATCTTTACATTATGTTTAGCTAAAGATTGTCTTTCCTTTAGAGTCAGATATGCCGTGATACATTTAGAAATCTGTAAGTATGTTTTAGTTTGGAAAAGGTTATCCTAAGGAATCTTAATGTTCAAAGGTCTATTTAGTCCAACTATGGAGACTTCTATTGAATTGTAATTAATTTGTTCCTAACTCAGTAGCTCTCACCTGGGATATCAGAATTATTAGGGGGAGTATTATCAAGACATTTTAGAATAGGAGTGGAATTAAGGAATGTATATTTCAAAAAAGCTTCCTGATAAGATTTTGATATTTCTTCCTCTCAGTTTATTGTTTTAGTTACATTATTTTGTCAGATTATGTTTGACTAGAACATGCCATATAGACAAAGTTGCAGGGTTGGGTTCTACAAAAATCAGATCTTTAGTATATTATATTAGGTGAAAAAAATCTGTCAATGAACTAATTATACCCACCAATTATTGAGTGACTGTTATATTCAAGTGATGGTCAATAACTTTTGGCTTCAGGAACAGGCTGTCTTGAGGGTGGGGAGACCGGAAACCCTTCAAGCAGAGGGTAAAATCCAGAGGGATCGCGAAGGAAGGGTAGAGCTGGGATACACTGAGAGGAGGTATGTGTCGGGTATGGGGCCTGTGTGAGCAGAAGCCTATTTGGATGGTAATGGTAAGATCAGCGGGACTAGATTAGAGGATTCATCTCAAAGTGCAAGCCCTCCAGGATTAGTAGACTAGGGCCAGTGTGTGGGAGGCCGTGAGTGGCAAGCAAGGTCTTCAGATGTTGTCATCTAAGGAGTGAGAACTGAGTTATTGAAGGATCTAAGCAAAGAAGTGACATATTTGAAAGTGATTTTTTTTGCAGGGGGGCGGGGGAGTGGAATTACTTAAGAACCTAATGGATTGCAGCTGAGAAACACTAGTAGCAGGAAAAGCAGCTAGAAGTCTTGGTCTGCAGTTGTCATAGACTGGGAACAGCAGCAGCAGGGTCTCCTGGGAACTTGTTAGAAATGCAGAAATTCAGACCTACTGATGCAGAAACTCTGGGGTGGGGCCCAGCAACCTGTGTTAACAATCACTCCAGGCGATTTTAATGCAGCTATAAAGTTTGAGAACCACCGGTCTGGGCAAACCATGATGAGGACCAAATGGAGTGAGGGAGTGAGGGCACTAGAGAAGTAAAGGATGGGTTTCAGTTTTGGAACCAAGAAAATAGGACGTCATGAAAGAACATTGTGAATTATTGCATCTCTGACATGGGGTAAGAATAACCTTTGAAAGAAATCTCGAAGTCAGAAAAATCCACCAATTTTGATAGGAGAATATAATGAGTTTTTTATTTAAAAGAAGTGAGTTTAAAGGGTTGATGAGATTTCCTAGTGTAACCTCGAACAGCTGGTTACTAATGTGCAGTGTGAATAGAAGGGAATGATTGGGCATAGTTATAAAAATCTGAGAGTCACTTGCCTAGAACTGATCATTGAAGACTTGATATTAAAGAAAATGATTAATGTTTATTGTTCATAGGTCAGTTATAATTGACTCAACAGACTCGATAGGACTTCAGGAAGGACCGAGGTTGCTCAGGAACTTGTTTGCTTTAAGGAATATTCCATACTCTACATTATATTCTAAAATCAGATTCAGATTTACTTCCATTTTAATTTAATCAATATACAACCATCAGAATCATAAAAATTCATAATAAATGCTATTATTTATCTTTGGTTAGACTTGAATCAACTGTGTAAGAGAGTTATAAAGACGGAATAATAGCCATTGTATATCATTTTGAGTCACTTCCTGCAGCCTTCATAGATACTCAACACCCGCTTTATCCTTTTTCTTTTAGATTCTAAGTGGCAAGAACTCAATCAACTAACAGTGGATAGACAACAAAAACTGGAAGAATCCTCTAATAATCTAACTCAATTCCAGACTGTAGAGGCTCAGTTAAAACAGTGGCTTGTGGAAAAGGAACTGATGGTCAGTGTACTTGGGCCTCTGTCCATTGACCCAAATATGCTAAACACACAAAGGCAGCAGGTACAGGTGAGTACTATTTAACAAGAAAAATGTTTTCATTATGACTATATTAGCATTGGGCAGTGTGTGCTTTAACTGCCTTGGAGTGTATTTGCAGTGTTTCAGATGTCCACAGATGCCGTTCTGAGGTTTGTGGGAAGCCCCAGAGAACCGAAGCTGGGAGGCATTTCACAGTAGCCTACTGAGCCCATGAGTGGGCCAAGTCCCTCGATCATTTCAGTCATATTGTGGTTTGTGCAGACCCTGTTATAAAGGGCCTTCTTTGAAGTATTAATGTGAGTGTATAAGTAATAACATTTTTATGAGAAGCTAGTGTATGCTTTTTATGGTTTAGAAATTACTCCTTTGAGGTTTTATTTATTTCGAGTCTGATAGTAGATAATGAAACTTTTAAAACTCATGCAGTACAGCCCTGTCAGGGGGAGAAACAGGATAAGTAGAGGAGAAAGAATAAGGGAAGCAAAGAGGAAACCCTGAAACCCAGAGGGTTAGTTAGACTACTCTAATTATAAGCGCATAAATCCACAAGGGGGAAAAAAAATCCATAAAATTTAAGGCAAACATAATACAGAAGTTCTGTTGTGGTTTCAGTGAGATTTCTTTAGATATAAGTAGTGGTATCAGAGCAGTGAGGCTGATCCTGTACTCTGAAAATACAAATTCATGTATGTTCTTAATTTGAAGAGAATGAAAACAGAAACTAAATAACCATTTGGGGAGAAATAATTGCCCCCCAGTCTTGGTAGTGTCTCAGAG